GTTATGATTACTGACTTTATATATTTGAATGTGTATTTTCATTCCAGGCTCGGGACGATAGACTTGATATCATTACGTCATCGCGAATGACGTCATTACGTTAGGGCGTAAAAGAACTGATTAACCATTTTTTAAAACTAGTTCATTGAAACGAACTGTCCGAAAGAACCGGTTCGCGGAAAAGAACCAGACTTCCCATCACTAGTCAGAAGGTACCTGCGATTCAGAGAGCAAAATGTTGACTCCCTGCTGACCTCTACAGGTCAGGTGAAGCATCACAAGGCCACCATGATGCAGGTGTCAACTGCTTAAGTTTATGGTCAGTGGAGTTTATTCAAGCCTGAACACTTGGGCAGGAGATAACCACTATAATCACCATAATAACCAAAGTCCAAATGCTCATCTCCACTAAAACACTTATACTACAATAAAATCACCTTAAGTTAAACACACACTTTCATTCTCTCTCTCTCTCTCTCTCTCTCTCACACACACACACACACACACACACACACACACCTAACAGTTGCATGAGCATTTCTAAGAAGATATTCACAGTAAGATTATGCCATTTATTCAAAACAATTAAAAATACTGACATATACAAATAGACTTATAGGCAGAAGCATAATGGATATTCAAATCGAAGAAGCGCATTCGATTTTGAGCCAAAAAGACAAAAGAGAAATATTTTTACTTTTGCATAATTAAGTTTCACAATTATTCTAGGTATAATAGTGCCACAAAGTTGTTGCAGTTTAAAGACAAAATATAATTTAGCCTATGAGATTCATGCAGAAACAAGGAGTTGTTGTATGCCGGTGGTTTAAGGAATCCATCCAAAATTTACAAAATATTAATTTGCCAACACAACACAACCGAAGAGGTTTATCATTTAATGCAGTAGTTCTTAACTCCAGTCCTGGGGACCCACTGCTCTGCATGTCAAAAGACGCAAGTCGCAAGTGTGGTGCGTTTCTCTGAAGGAGTACGGAGAACAAATCGTGCAGTTAAACACAATGATAATGTGCAGTTCAGCCTTGTGCTGCTGATGGTTTCAATAGATTTGTTTCTATAGAAGACTCAATCAATGCAGGACTTCTAATATCCTTACTATTCTGGAATAGCAGCAGTAAAGGCATTAAAACGGCATGTTCTCAAGTTCAATTGATAATTCAACTATTTAACTGGGTCTGAACACACTGCAATAATTATTACAGTGAAAGTTAAGTAAAGTTTCATTATAAATAATAACAGTTATTTTTATTTGAGGTGGGTTTTTCCCATGAAGACTACTTTGTCGATTTGTAGTTACCTTGCTGTCTATGGGAGGGTCAGAGAGCCCTCAGATTTCATCAAAAATATCTTAATTTGTGTTCCGAAGATGAACGAATGTCTTACGGGTTTGAAACAACACGAGGGTGAGTAATTAATGAATTTTTCCTATAAAGCTGCTTTGAAACGTGTATGTGAATAAACTGGCTTTACTACAGGGATCAGACACAGCTGTATGTGCCGGTGATGTAAATGAGTTTATTGTTCACCTGCTGATGGAGTGACGCAGGAAGAGTAAGTTTGTGTGTCCTCTGAAACTCCTCCATCAGACTCTTAACCATCGCTCCATCTCGACCAGACAGCAGCCAGAACACGCGTTCCATGTTATACGGGTCCTGTGAACATTCACAGCTGTATTCACACACAGACAGCATGCACACAAATAAACCACTGAGAGCAGCGGCACCTGGATGTCGATGGCAGGAGCAAGCGTTTGCTTGACGGAGTCGGACATCGAGAAATCTCCGCTCTGGAGTGTGCGGTGGACGATGTCGTTGGAGTTGACCATGGCCACGAGACGCAGAGGGATTCCCATCAGCTTCATGATGTATCCAGCTGAACAAGCACACAGTCAGTGATGAACAATCATAAAACCCAAGCATACCAGGACTCTCTGTTCACATTCATCTCAATAGCAGCTGCTTGGCTGGAGCATTCAGACCCAGAAGGACATGATCACAGATGAACTGCTCACAATAAATCCAGGAACACGCACAGCTCCACATATTACAAAACTTCTTGCTGTGGACAATAAGGGCATCTAATTCAAACTCACCCTTAAACAGCTAAACCTTTGGGTGAAAGTCAAATTTCATCCAAACATCAAAAGAAAGAAATCGGAAATGATATTTTGCATAAAGAAAACAAAGCTTATTTTTAGGATATCAAGCGATTTGTATCATGAGATTATTTTCATGCCAACTGGGCGCATTTACCCCAAATTGTCAATACTGTGTAATGAATCTGGAAGTTTTGATTTTGGGTTTCTTTGTAATTATCATTCTTCTCACAGGTGATTCTTGTCTCAGCATTATTTCAATTTTTAATAAATGAATGGATAAATAAGTAAATACAATTCTATTAATAAAGAATTATAGTCATACTGTGATTTTTTTTTTTAAATCAGCAAAAAAAAACGCACCACACTTTGCACACCCAAAACAATCACTGGTGCATTAGATGAAATGACAATACAAAGTATTAAAATATCAATGCTGCACACTACTCAAGTTTGCATCATCACAAAAATATCATAATGACAATGTTTCGGTCAATCAACCGTCCTCTCTCTTCAACTGACCAAAATGTTGTTCATTAAAATATTATGCAAACTTGAGTCGTGTGCAGGATTCATATTTCTCTGTTTTATATTAAAGTAAAACTAATACTGTAGATATTAAAGAGTCAATATCAAACATTAAAATAAGATCAGTCATGTTTATCTGTCATGAAAGCATAATTTCTTCTTCTCTCTTGTGATTGTGGGTGGTGTCGTCGGCAGGTTTGTTGATCTTCACCTGTGATGTTTCCCGCTCCTCCTGTGGGCACCAGCACCTCCAGCGCGGGCAGAGCGTCTCCTTTGGCCTGCGGCATGCTCAGCTGCAGGTATGCGAACAGGAAATGTGCCAGCTGGACCAGGATCCTGGACCAGTTCACAGAGTTCAGACTCATGAGACCATGACGTAGCACCAGGTCTGGATCCGCAAACAGTTTCCTCAGCGGAACATCGATGTCGTCAGACGTCCCATCAGCTGCAGTTACAAACACACAGAGAGGGTCACGGCACACTGCTGACATCTGACTGAAACAATAGATTTTATAAACAAATGTAACAAACTATAAGTATACATTAATGTTAAAGAAGGCTCTTCTGCGCACCAAGGCTGCATTTATTTGATCAAAAATACAGTAAAAATTTTAAAATATTATTACAATTAAAAAGAACTCTTTTCCATGTGAATATATTTGAAAATGTAATTTATCCCTGTGATCAAAGCTGAATTTTCAGCATCATTACTCCAGTCTTCAGTGTCACACGATCCTTCCGAAATCATTCTAATATGCTGATTTGTTGCACAAGAAACATTTCTAGGTTATTATCAATGTTGAGAACAGTTGTGCTGCTGAATATTTATTTATCAGGATTCTTTGATGAATAGAAAGTTTAAGTTTGGTTGAAATAGAAATCTGGTAACATTATAAACAGCGTTGGGGAAAGTTACTTTTAAAAGTAATGCATTACAATATTGCGTTACTCCATAAAAAAGTAACGAATTACGTTACTTAGTTACTTTTTATGGAAAGTAATGCATTACGTTACTTTTGCGTTACTTTTTAAATCTGGACAGGGCTTGCTTGTTTGTTTTTAAAATAAAAAAAGTTATATTTTGGTAAATATAAAAGCCTTTTCACACCAAAAGTGAAATGAATAAGCCTCAGGCTGAAGGGAAAGTACATTTACGTCCGTACAGTAGAACGCAGAAGAAGAAATTTCAACACACTTCAGCAATTAAAAAAAACACACAAATGTTTGTCTATAGAGTAATTTGTGCTTATTAGTACGGTTGAACTGGATCATCGAAGGTCAGAAGCAAAGACATTGGTTA